GATTTTAATTTGCTTTATTATTATTTTTCTTAAATATCATTGATACTTATTTGTATAGAAAGGAAACGCTGGTATAAAAATGATTTTAATAAAAAGGTAAATACTAATTAACTCAGAAATATGGAATAAGTCCAACAATTTTATTAGAGAAGTATTTTATTACATTCACAAGCATATTGATTGCCCCGTAAAGTACATTCATACACTTCTAACGATCATTTTACTGAAAAAAAAAAAAAAAAAATTAATAATTGAAACATTAAAAAAAAAATAGTTAACACAATACCTTTTTTCCTGACGCGGCACCAACTTTAGTCTTCTTAGTACCTCGTACCTTCTTCATCCTGTTCTTCCTTTCTTTTCTTTGTTTTCTAGTTTGAGTTTTCTTTTCGAAAAGTCCATGCTAAATAAACAACAAATTGTTTTGTATAGAATCGTTATAGTAATGTTATTTAAAAATAGTTATTACCCTTTGCAGCCTATATTTTGGTTCAAACTTCTTTGCATGATCTAAAGTATCGTAGATAAGGGCAAAACCTGTTGATTTTCCACCTCCAAAGCATGTTTGGAAACCAAAGACAAACACAACATCAGGTAAAACTTTGAACATCTTAGCTAATTTTTCACGAATATCAGTTTTTTTAGGAGAAGGTTTTCCTGGATGCATTACATCAACAACCTAAATAAATAAAGTAAAATTTATAATATGCAGCTGAATAAATTATTTGACTTGAAAAAATTATCAAATGTAACAGTTGTAAATTGTATGTCTTAAAACTTTTTAGGTATTTCTTAAAATACAAATAAACAATACATTGGCATTAGTTTTTAATTTTGGGAAAAGATATCATAATTCATACATAGAACATTATGCATTGCAATGAAATAAGTAAAATATAAAAAAATTAAAACAAAGGAAGGTAATCTGGTACTACTTTACTGTACATAAGGTGTCAAATGAATTACTATTATGATTGTGTTAAATTAGAATCATGATACACAAAAATAATAATGAACAGACAGTCTACCAGTGTCAACCTATATCCCAAGAACTTTTTCTCATTTATTTTTTCTTTAAGTATTGTTTCATAGATAAAATTTTGTCCAAAAATATTACATTAATTATATTATTAGTATTTAAGTATTACAATAATTTCTTAACATATTATATCAATTTAAGCAACCCAAAATATTATAAGATATTTTTGTAAATACTGTCAAACAGTAAAAATAAGTTCATCCTATAAATAAATAATAATCATAAAATAAACCAAAAATGTCATTAATTAAATTAAATTTATAATTTATAATATGAAATTATTTATTAGTTTTTAATTAACATTTATAAAGAAAATTTTCAACTGGCTATAAATATCTTAATAATTCAAAATGTTTTTAAAATTATAGTATGTATAGAAAATAATCAATCATATTATAATCATTTGGTAAAATATACATGTTTCAACAGTTATTTGTTTTCCAGGCTAAAAAACAATTAAATCAATTGAATTGAGAACTAATTATAGTAAATTACTATTAAATTACTTTTTTTTATATTATATTTGAAAATAGAAGTTATTTTGATTTAGACCTTCCCAGAGTAGAAACTAGATGCATTTGTCATAAAAGTTATAAATCAAGGTTATTAATTATGTCGTATTTAAAATCAATACATATAAATTTAAATGTTATTTATACTTGCATGTTAATTTTTTAATTGTAGTTCGTAATAGAAATAAATTCTTAAGTATTTTCAAATGTTTAAAACTTTAAATAATTAAAAGTATTTCCAAAACTAAAAAACCTAACATTATCTGACACAAAAGTGTTCACTTTAACCTAGTAAAATTATACCTGAAAAAAACCAAACTTAATAATCACTCACCATGTTCCTACAATTCATACTACAGAATACATATCTACTACTACTCTATGGCATACATCCCACACTCGATCTTGTCTACCATTACTGTTGCAGATGGGTTACTAGAAAATGCTACAGATGATTAAAGGCATACATTTAACTAATGTTGATAGTACTAATAAAAGTTTAGTTTGCAGAAAAGTATTAAAATATGGTTTATCCCTCTACTATCATTATATGATACTTAAAACCTAATGTTTAACTTCATACAAAACTTAAGATTTTACCAAAACCTTCATCAAAGTAAGCGTATGTTGCAGAAAATTCCATTAAATATCACAGCAATAAACATGATATGCTCACAATTTAAAGAAATAATGTACATTTGATTTTACAACACATAATATGACCAACTTATACTTAACTCATTGATTTAAAATAGAATATGAAAGTTGCTGAATCATAAATTTTTCACTTACCATTTGTTTTCTGCATAGTAATCGGTTAGTCATGAACTTGCGAGTCCGAATTGTAGCAGTAGAGGTATTAGCAACCTAAATAAAATTAAAACAACGAAGATAAATAACATATTTTTGAGTTATAAAATTTAATTACAATTTGCATTATAAAAAAATAAAATACTTATTCAACTTAATATATATTAATATTAGGTTTACTAAACGGTAAATCCAGTTAACTTATTAACATACTGAACAATAATAAGCGTCAGTATCAAATGTATAAATAAAGTACAAAGAATAATATAAATTTTATAAAGACAGAAAAAAGATAATAAATATCTAAGATGTATTTTTAATATTTACTGTACATAATTCAATTTTTTTAATATTAAAGGTTTTGACGATTGAGCCTAATATCCGAGATTATTTAATATTTGTAAATTCCATAAAAGAACATTTTTTAAGATGACTAGGGGGTTAAAATTAATAATCAGTAAAGTACATGTCTAAGAAAAAGCGGATATTTTTCGAGATCATCATTTTAAAGGTTTAATAGAAGCCGGTGTTTAATATGATGAGTATTTCAAAAGTTTACTTCATAAGATTAAAATGGATAAAAATCAAAAACTCACCATTTTGGCTGTTGGAATTCAATAAATTGAGGATAGCAAAACAAACTACATCTGTCACTAAACGTGAAAGAAAGAAGGGAAGATTGGAAAAAGCACAAGCCACAAACGTTTATTACTTCCAACTAGTGACAATTGTACCGAACATCATAATCATAATAATAGTATTTGGAATAAATTAATTGGATGTTAAAAAACTTAGCTTTTGGCTACACTGATAGTCAAAATATCTGAGCTGATATTAAGATATTGATATCTTAAATTATTAGATAACAAACACGCCTACAGAATACTTATGTATACCTCTACCATGGCAATAAAATAAGATATAATATATTTATTATTTTGTTTAAGATCATAATATGATCATACCTATGCATTAGATACGATGGTTGCGAGTTGCGACTGTTGCGAGATGACCTAACTCATGTATGGTTTTTCATCTGGATTTTTAATGATTGTTAGCGCTCACTATGTATAGAAAAAGTAACTAAATTAGAAACAAGTTTTAAAATTGGGCGGGATTTTAAAATAATTGAAGTGTTGTACTTATATGTTACTACTTATTAGACATGTTATAATTAAACACACTAAATGGTCTAGATATGTAACTAGCTTAGAACCTGAATATCGTTGCTACTCCTGGAGCAGATCTTGTAAATTTAAGGTTAAGAGAATTTTTAACACATCTAAGTAAACATGCTTATGAAATAAATTGAAACGAGCTTTGAAAAATATGCGTAATCACTAATCATCAAATAAATTTGAAGATACTTACGTAAAATTCTTCAACAAAAATATAAAACTTACATTCCTGTGCAGTAAACACAAAAATTATGTGTTTAATTATTTTATTTAATAAGTAAGTACATAGTCATGGAAATGAGGCAGTTCAAATAATATTTAAGAAATCAACAAAATACAAAACAGAATAAACTTAAAATATTATTTGATGAATTTGTTTGATTGCTTGTAACCTATCTGTTAATTTTTAAACTTTTTGAATTATTCATTTACTATGAAAATGAATTAAAGTCATATTAACTTATTTCACAGTACAGTCGACGGTCGTTAAATCATAAACCGTTAATCGTTGTATACAGTTGTTCAACAATTCAAGGTATAACAAGAATATTTCTGAATTACATGATAGGAACTTTGTAAATTATTAAAATGTACATGGTACTCCAAAAATTGTATTAAATAATCTAAAAATAGCAATGTGTATTCCTCTTAACATAATTTAAATAATATAGTACATATATTTAATTTATGATCATAGAATTTTTTTTTGTTTCAATTTAAATAATAAATAATACAATGTTTTATGTTTAAATATATTCATATTTAATATTTTAAAACCAAGTTGCATAAAAAATATATTAATGGTTCAAAAAAATATAAAAGTCCAATCATAGGCTATTAATTTGTATTATTAGGTAATTCACTTACTCACTATTGATTTATTAAATACTCAATGTTTAATGAAATACCTTAAATAATAAAATATCTATACGTTTATAGTTTTTGGTTTAATGATTTTTTAGTGCAACCACAATAAAATTGAAATTTAAATGGGTAATATGGTTTTAAATTTAAATTTATTTTATATTTTTTAAATAATTTTTATACAATCAAATAGTTAATGCTAACAAGTAACACTTCGAGAAGAATAAAGACATAAAGTATAAATGAAAGATTTATCTTAAATGGTCTATATTAAAAGTCTTGGGGTATATAGCAAATTCTTACAAAAAAAAAAAAAAAAATAGAAGAAAGTAATTGATTGTATTAAGTGAATATAGAAGTGGATATTATAATGTTACATTGTTCAATGGTACTATCTTATAGGTATAATTATTATTCTAAGATCGTGGCTTTTACCACAGTTTTTTGTTTAACCAAAATTTTTAAATTTAATTTAGTCTTTTTTACTCACATGGCTCACGGCTTAACCAATATCAAAATTTCAAATTTACTATTTATTCTTTTATTATCTATGTTAAACACACCATTCCTATTATCAGTAGCTGCTGGCTGCTGCCATATCATATTATCTTAAAAAATATTATACTTCAATAAATGAAAATAATTATTCCATCTGCAACATGGCTTTCTAGTTATTCAGATTTCTCAGTTTGTTCATGTGTCAAGAGTCAATAAATTGTTTGAATTTGAGTAAGTAGTTTCTATATTTTTTTTTTTTTTTTTTTTTTAGTAGAGTTTTGAAAATGAGATAAAACCTATACCTATAACATATATTTCTTATTTCATTTTTTCTAAATATACTTATTTAACAGGTTTTATATTTTAAACAAAAGTGACTTAAAAATAATTATTTATAATGTACAAACAATTTAATGAAATATTTATTTGATTAACACGTTTTAAAATGTTTATCGATAATAATTTTTTTAAATAAAAGCATCTAGCACATGTGACTTTATCCCCTTCAAGAATGTAATTGCAATTATTGAAGATTTATTAAGTATTCTTGTACATTATTCAAATTTAAATTTCTTTTTATCAATAAAAATTTTATTACAATCTGTTGAGGTAACTTTCTTATTTTTTTTGTTATCATTAAACTTAAACCTGGATCCATTTTGATGTATAATTTTATTCAATTGACAAACAAATGAGATCACATATGCCAAATTTAATTCTGTGAATTTATTTTAATTTTATAATTTATAATTGTATATATACATAAACATGGTTTTGTATTTTGATTTATTTATTTTTTAGATTTGTTGAGTATATTTTCAGAGGAATGTTTTAAAATAAAATGAGTTAGAAAACTGAATAAGATAATCTTATTATTAAATTATGAATACTATTATACACAAATTAATTTCAAAATTATTTGAGAATTAGGCACTACCTATGCTAGTCATTAGTCAAACCTAACCTAACAAAACACCAAAATTATGGCATTAAAAAAATTCATATTTAGCGTTTTAATATGCATTTACCAAAATACCAAAACAAACTCAAGACATAACACTAAAATTAGATAATTATTATATTGAAAAAAATTGTAGATAAAAATTTTTTAATGATGCAAATTTTTTGTAGAATATGGTAGTAGGTGATTAGGAACTATAATTGAGTGGTCCTATTTTGAAACAAAAATATAAAAAATCCAATAATTGCAGTCCAATACATTTAAAGATTTTTTTAATTCAAATTATTGGAAATGGATGGAATAAACTTTCAGATATCATTTGCAAAAACAACCAATTACGTATGATTTATAATAATTTATAATAATGTACCCACTGTTATAAAATCGAAAACTTTCTTTTTGTTCACTTATTCATTAACTATATTAGAGTCATATTGCTTCTTATTTCTTTTATTTTATAATAATACTTAAAACAGAATTATTAAAAAAAAGCTAAAAAACTGTAAATATTTATAAATTATCAAAATAAAACTTCTTTCATATCAGAAATAGGTAAAAAAAATTGTATCTTATTTTTAATATTATATGATTTTCCAAAAACTGTTTATTTATAAATATGTTTAATGATGGTGTTTTTTATCATTATTTTTAGTTGGTAGGATGTGCACAGGTCGTAGTTCTTAAAAAAATATTTTTAAGTATACAAATTTATATATAATATTTAAGTATTTAATTTTATTTAAAAATTTAGGGTTATTACAAGATTAATAGTTTTTAATTTTTTTTTTTCAGTTATTGAAAAATGTCTGCACCAGATACAAAATCAGTCCTTAATAGGCATTTTCCATTTGCTAAGAAAAAACCAAATATACCTTCTAAACTATCAGATAAAGTTGACACAAAAATAAATAAACAAAAATTGATTGAAGAAAAAAGTTTCCTTATTGTTAAGAATTCAGAGTCAAGTCGATGTGATATTTTAACAGAAAATAATGAAAAAGCCAAACCTATTCAAGAAAAAACATGTGGTAATGAAATTTCTAAAAGTACTATATCGTCAACATTTAAAACAATTAAATCACAAGATAATGAGCCGGAAATTATATCTAAAAAAAAGGAGTCTATTTCTCGGAAATCATCAAGTGTATCAGAGGTTAGTATTGAGGAAATAAAAAAACCTAAAGAAAATTATCAACGTTGGAATATTCCTTTCTCAAGCAAATTTAAAGGCAGAGAATTTGATAAAACATTATTGACTATGCAAGATCTTATATACTATAATCCAGTTACCAATCCTATAATTAAAGAACCCAAAGTGGAGCACAAAGAAGAAGACGATCCAGATAATGATTTGTTGTCTTTAGATCCAGTAAGAAAATTACAAATTGTAAATATAATTATAAATATTTAGATGATCTTATTATTATGTTGAAGTAAGCTTTTCAAAAGTATAACACTATTTACATTTATTTACCTATAATTTTTTTATGACATCATTTTTACTTAACAAGTAATAAATTAATGAATTATTAACTGGGTTCAGATGTTACACCACTAAAAATTAGTAAATATGCAAAATAAAATTGTCAATCAAATTTTATATTTTTTTTGGTAAAATATGGTAGTAGGTATTTGGTCTTATTCTAGAACACAAATAAGATAAATTTGATAATTATAGTACTTTGCATCTGACGTTATTTTAAAAATAACCTAATTACTAGAATAAATTGTCCAAACTCTAAAGTTTTCTGTTATAACAACTAATTATGCCTATAAATAGCACTTAAAAATCTTAATTAACAAAATAACTTTAGAAACTATTAACATGCATGAATTTATAACTTATTTTTGGTGTTTTATGACTCACAAAAAAAATACCTTGTTGCTAAAACATCTGTAATCTAATTATAAGTATAAATTAATACAATTGTATAATCCAATTTTTAAATTAATTTTTACATTTTTCAGGAGCAAAAACCAACGGTTCTTAATAACTGCATTACTCCATGTATCAAAGTAGGTATTGACGGCAAAATTATCATTGATCAAGAAACATTAACTTTAAATGAGACTGGTCTTGAAGAAAAACGAGAAGAATTGGCTAAATCTAAAGTTATTGAAGAATCTGCATACCATTCAAGAAGTTATTCTTATAAACGTAAAAAAGAAGCTTCTAAACAATGGTCTAAAGATGAAACACTTAAGTTTTACAAATGTTTGATGAATTTTGGTACTGACTTTTCTATGATTCAGCAATATTACCCTAATCGAACTCGAGCTCAAATCAAACGAAAATATAAAACAGAAGAGAAAAAAAATCTTCAACTTGTAAATGGTGCCCTAACTAATACAACACATTTTGATAGTGCTAGCATTGAAGACATGCTTGAAAATGATAAGGTCGAAGTAGAAGTAAAAAAACTTGATACAAATGCCGATTCAGAAGCTTGTACAAAAAACACTGATCGTAGACGTCATAAAGAAGTAATACGCTCAGATTGTAGTAGATTAAGCGTATGTGCATACATGTTGGAAGAAGAAATTGTATTGAAGAATAAAAGAAAACGTCCAACTGAAATAGTTACAGCAAAGAAATTGAAAAAAGAACTAGCCAATATGCCAAGTATAAAGAACAAGAAAAAAAATCATACACTATCAAGTACTCAAATTGATACAAGTAAAGATAGGGGAAAACACAATATTGATGAAAATAAAGATGAAATACCTAAAGTTCGAACATTACAAGACTTTCATGAAGAATATCAGGAAAGTATCACTAAATACGAAGATTCAAATAGTGAATGAAAACAAAAGCATTATTGATTTATAAATATTATGTAAACTAAGTTGTTCACTAAAACATATTGTTACAGGGCTTATTATAATATTATTTTTAATATAATAAAAGTTTTTATTTTAGATTCTTAGCATTGAATTTTAAATTTTAATACATGGTAATCAATGCATTAATTTATAAATGGCATCTATTGATTATTGTTGACTATTTACAGACCCCTATTACACCATAAAAAAAATTATTCTAAGCATTTACTTGGCAGTGGTAAATAGTAGATACTAGATATTTATAGAAATAATGACTTATTATACTGAAATACCTCTATTAATTCATTATTAAGGACCTGTATGTAAACTATTATGCTATAATGAGTTACTTTAAAATTAAAACGTGAAAAAATCTATGTGGGGCACTTCAGTGTTTCTTCTGTCTTACAAAAGACTACAAATAATATTTTTCCTTAAAATTTGATGATTTTTTTAGACCATTTAGTATAAAAGTCTGATATGGACATTGTCATATTAATCTGGTTCACACATAACATGGAAAATTTAAGTAGAATTTATTTTAATGGCAGGCATTTTTTTTTTTCTTAAATATAATTTTATTTTATATGATGATAAAATATGTAGAGTTCTTAAAGGTTAATAAGTAATAACAAAAGTTGTAATTGTTATACAAAATTGAATATGACACATAATAGAATTGATACACAAATAACAATAGATCAATTTCATGAGAAAAAAACAATTTAATCAAAATAAAACATTACTTAAGCATAAAAAAATAAAACCGACATTAAATAATGTAGGTAGGTAATGATAATTTTACAAAATTATAAAACAAATTGAATAGATTTTTTTTGTTTTTTGCTTTTAATTTCATCTTACTTCTTAGTCCTTGTTCTAATTTATTTTATTATTTCTTTATCTCCAGTGGAGATTCTCCACTCTACTTATTTAGTATCTTTCATATTGATTTAAAGTTATGTAGTTTTGAGAATAATGACATTATCATTGTTATCCAAGTTAATACAAATTATCTTTGTCAGTCTTGAAAAATAAAAATTTATGCTACCATTAGATTTAAGATGAGGAGCTAAAAGTAGATCTAAATTTCAGGTATTTTAATTCAAAAACTAATTTCAGATAATAAATTGTTAATCTGAAACACACTATGTTAATTTTTAACCTCAATATTATAATTTATAGTTAACAAGATTAATTTTTGTCTAAGGAATCTAAAAAAAAGAAGTTCCTGGAAATAGGAAAATTTATATATGATGGAGAATTACAAGACCAAATTAAGGAGTCAAAATTAAGATTAAATCTAATTAAAGAAAAATCACTTTATTTCAATGATTTATTTTATTATCAAAAATTATAGTTTTACTATTTAAACAAAATAATACATTTATTAGTATTTAATGATACCTAATAAATTAATTTTACCCAATACAACAAATTTATTTATACTTAACTATAGTTTTAAAATCACATTTGATTAAACTGTAAAGACAATTTTTAAATCATCAGCAAATAATACCTACCAACATTTTTATAAAACTATCGAGGACTAGTGGAAGATCATTAATAAATATTAAAGATAGTAAAGGATCTAAATGAGTCGTATGGAACAATCCAATAAGATAGGATATTCATCAGAAACATAAAACATTATTTTAATAACTTGAGATCAATCTGAAAAAAAATGATCAATTTTAAATATTTTTATCTAAATCATTTTTTATTGAAAGTAAAGTAATTTTGATTTTATGGTTAACTTTATCAAACCCTTTAAGTTAATCTGCACATAAGCAGTAATCTCATAGGTAGTAAAATTTGTTTTAAATTTTTAATTATCAAGGTATTTTAATAAAAATAAAAACACATTATGAAGTGTTAATACTAAATTAATAGTATTATTAACATAATTTATTGAGTAACTTCTTAGATTTAATGGCTTAAAAAATATATTAGGCAAAATGGATAATTTAGAAACTCATTTATAAATTTTAACATTTTGTTTATCAATTTATGAGCTGGAGATATAAATGACTTTTTCCAACAAGGAAGAAAAAATCCCTCAAAAGAAATTAAATAAATATTAAATGTTATAATGGCTTAGCAAGTGAGATTGTATTGCTTACAAATTTATCTGTAAGCGTCAATTATTTATGCTTGTTCTTTTTGTAAACAAAAACTCTTAAAAATTAATCTGATTTAATAACAAGTATCATATGATATAATTTAATGTTAATTACCTAGTGGAACATAGCCTATCTCTAAAGCAGTGGATCTCAACTGGCATTAATCGATTTATTAACAGACCACTAGCCAGAATTTATTTTGTATCAAGGACCACACTTTTTGTCCATGTAGATGATTGTTTCCTGCTCCCTGCACATGTTTATATTTTAATATTGTTTAAACTCGATGAAAAATTTCTTTGCCTATCCAAGTTGTCGACATCATGAACAATTGGATAGTGCCCGTGAGTGACTTATTTGTTTGCTCAATTACAATCGAGAACTACAAATTGCCAATTGGGAATCCCTGGTCTATTTCAACATTTTCCAGACATTTAAATTTAAAAGTTTCATATTGATACTAATTTTCATTTGCTTCCCATACCATCAGTAAAGTCGCAGTGAGGTCTACCAGTATTCCTGGCCATTTAACATATTTTTGCCCTTGTACATTTTAAACCCATTCTCCCACATACAACTTTTTTACTTGATTCCAAATAAGATATTATATAGATGCTTGATTGTGTTAAATAGATTTTTTTTGATAACTAGTTTTTAAATGAGTCAATAAACTAATATTTTTATATTATTTGAATTTAAATTTTATCAATAAAAAATAAAAACCAATATATAGGTAATAATAACATCTTAAATACCTACTAGACATTTTAAGTCTTACATATGATTATTTTATTAAACCTAAATTATAATTTTAATTTAATTATAATTTATGACTAAGTTAAGAAAATTAATTTAATTTTGTCTAGTAATATATCCAGAACTTTTATTCATGAACTTAAAAAAATATAAATGATTAAATATTAAAATATGAATATATTGATAAGTTAAATTTGAATCCTATTTTTAACGTTAATATATATCTTATATTTAATAATGATCATGCAAATTAATTTATCACTTGAAGTAATATTATATCAACATATATTTTATGTTATGTGTATTTTGTATTATTGAATGATAATATATCTTGAATAGCCTAAAATTACTAAATATTTATTATTTATGATTTATATTAATATTAATAATAATATAGGCATACCTTATTTTGGTTTTTATGCCTTCTTTTTTGCTGTGTCCTTGTCCTGGATCAGTCTTGCCAAGCCCATATATACACCACCCCCACTCCACAAAAAAAAAAAAAAAAACAAGTCTAGTAAAGCAACCATTCACATGGACTTATTGTTTTAACACTGTTTATAGCCTGCCTATAAGTATAAAAAATAATATCTAAATACGTTAATTTAACTACAATCTTATTTGATATGAATAAGTCTTTTCTATTATACACTTTTTAATTAATTATTTTATTAAAAAGATAAAATTGTACAACATAAAATAGTTACAATTCACAATACCTACAAACAAATAAATGTTGTTGGATCTAATATTAATAAAACTAAATAAATGTAATATTGTCTTCATATTTAGTTACAATTAGTATACTTTTAAAACGAGTACTTAGAACTTTTATAAAATATTATAAATATATATATATATATATGAACACATATTTAAATTCATTCATGTATAAAAAAAAAAAAAATAATAATAATTATCTAGGTTTATCAATTTATTTTACAAATTAAAAAGATGGAGCAGTTTTTGAAATTAGATATTTAATCAATACTTTTAACAAATTATTTTTTGATTAATTTCAATATCTATTACTGTATGGCTAAATTTAATTTAAAAATTATAACCTTATTTACTCATTTATTTTGAAAATTTTATTGAGAAATTTAATATTACAACAATTTTTTATATTAATATCTAAATAGTATTTAGTTATCTTTAAAGTTTGAAATTTTATGTTGGACACTATAATAAACTATTATTCAATAGAATATTTAATTTAAAGGTTAAATTGTATAGGTCAAAACAAGTAAAAATGTAACTTTTTCATATAAATATAAATTGAAATATTTTTTAAACTAAAGTCAAGTGGCAGTGATTTATTCACAAAACATAATTATAATGACATATTACGTGAGTTGGACATTCCTACAGAAGCATGTATTATGACAATATTTATGATTTTTATAATGTTAATTTATTGCAATAATTTTGAATAAAAAATTTCATAAAATATTATTTAAAGTGAGTTGAATATATCTTAAAAAAATTAATTGGTATTAAAACCAAAATTGCAAATAATTTTAAAAATTTACCATCAACAATTATCTAACTTTTTTGTCTTCACCACAAACAAATGTAATTAAAAATTTTATTGTAGACAATTTTAAGAACCATTTAAAAATAACAAACAAGTAATTTCACATCAATACCTCTAATATTGTTGGTTGATGCGTGACAATATTATACAGAAAAACAGTTTTACGTGGGAAAGAACCCATAATGCAACAATTTAAAATAAAAACAAATGTTTACAATAACAAGAAAATGGCAAAAATAAAGTATAACTATGATTATTTCCAGGATGGTTCTTATCCGTGCAAAATAGCTTTAAACAATTTGTGAACAAGTAAAGTTGTCAAAAAGATTAAAAAATTTAAGCTTTATCTGATCACAGAATAAAAATGTAACAACCCCTAACTACTAAGAATGTAACAAATATTATTTACATTACTTCAAAATTTAATTTTAAAAAATAACTAAAACTTTGCTCCCTATTTTTAGGAATATATTCAAATTATCACAATTTATTATTTTTAGTTAAATTAAACTAAAAAATTAATTAATATGTGTTTTTAGCCAAGTCCAAAATCCATGAACAAAACCATACAAACGCAATCGGTTTGATGTTATTGCATGCTTTGTGTTCATTAACATGGTTATATATCAGGAAACCATTGGATGACTGGTAGCTGATGTAGAATCATCATCAAACGGAAAATCATCACTAATCCAATCTCCTTCATCAGACATTGTTATAGATGTATATACCATATGGCGACGTTCAGCAGCAGACATTGAAAAATGACTGATAGACAAATATAAAAATATATAGGTTAGTGTCCTAAACACTACACCAGTATATCAAAAACACACAGTACACAAAATAAAAAAAAAACCCGCAATCATGCTCTTGTAATAAAAAAAATAAATTAATAAAAAGAAGTAGCATGCCATTAAGTAGTAAATACAAATTATATATTTTTTTATATTATGTACATTAGAAAATGATATGTTATAATAGATAAATTCAAAAAACAGTAGTGTAATAGCTGTTATTATTAAGGTAGGATATATTTCTCATTTAGAGATAACATAAAATAGGCTGTCTCCCAATATGTGGTCTACCTCTGTTTTGCATACTACCTAACTATAAATATGAGTATAGTATGCGGTCTATATATTTTATCATGTAACAAATAATAACATGTTAGTCAGTTTAATGTCGTTTGTAGTGAAACAACTTTTTTTGTTTTAAATTTGACTGAAAAATTTTCTAAGAGTTATGAAATTATGCTTTATGGATAATGAATAATAAATAATAATTATACTTATTTTATATTACCTATATTGCATGTAAAATTTTTTTGTTTTTAATTTTTGTAAAATCACAATATAGTAATATTATATAAATTGTCGATATTATATTATTACTAGGTACATGGTATTATTTTTTTTATTTGTATTTTACTAATTTATATAAATTATTATTATATTATATTTGAGTATAGATGGTTTCCCGTAGCTTCATTAGCGACAGGTCTTACCATATCATTATTATTACATATTATTATTTTATATTTATTTATATTTTTATTTATACCACACATGCCTATCCATGCTGATCTCTAAACTGGATACTACAATATCATAATATTTAACCAAGTAAAACCAAATAATAACAAGCATGTCCATTCTGGTAGACCATATTTTCTGAGGTAGACCGCATATTGGGAGACAGCCATAAAATATTTAACAATACACAGATGAAAATTTAAAAAATAATATTTACTCTTAAATTAGTATTTTCATTACTGAAATCTACATAAAAACAATTTTAATTGTTAGGTAACCAGCAAACAAAATACATTTTCAAATAGGCATTTTATTCACACGTTAATTAGTGATAATTTCAGACTCCAATGTAATAATAACAATTTATAGAAAGTCTAGAATTCCACAAAAGTCGAAATATGAACACAAAAAATAAATGTAAATAAAATAAGCAATAAAAATAAATGATTAAATAAAATTGGATGGTATTAATTATATTTGTGAACATAATATTTATAAAAACCAAAATAAAACAAAAATGTAATTAAGTGTACATGATCAGTTATAAGATTACCTGATGACCGCTTGATGATGGTCAGTTAATTTATCATTGCCTGATTTCTCAAACATATTTTCAACTTCCATTTGTGTATTTTGGTGGATGTCGCAAGTCTAATAAATAAAAATAGAATATATAAAAAACTAATATTTAAATAAAATATTAACTAAAATAATGAATACATAAAGGGTAATGGCATGATAAACTTAATAAAATTTGTAAGTAAATTAAATTCAAAATCATTGATCATTGTTTACTAAAAAAAACATTTAATGCATCTAAAATATATTTCACAATTTAAAAAATGTAGTAACTTTTGAGTAATGAGCTGTTTTGTTTTTATTTATGAAATAAATGAAAAATTAAAATAAATATTTATTTTTTAAATTTAAAAAAAGTGTAAAGTACATATAATCAATTATTTGTTGAAAGTGAAAAATGTATATCATATAATATTTTCAAATATTAGTTAGTTCTTGTTAATTTGTTTAATTTATAAATTTAAAAAGTAAGTAAATATTATAAAAACAATTTTACAAAACATTTACATGGTTTAATTATGCATTAATTTTGTATAGTTTAATATTTTGATATATTTTTTGTTAATAAAAATAGAAAAGTTCAAAATACAATTAGTCATCTCAAGTGAACAAATATATATGGCATTCTGTAAAAATGTGTTGTAATAACACAAACAATTAAAAAAACAAATAATTATATCCAATGTTATTTATTTTGTTATCACATTATCTGATACTTAATGTGTATTATTAGAGTTAAGTGATCCATTAATCTGCTCATACTCAATCAAGTTAATTATTGTGATATTGAAAATAATTATTAAATATTTGTATTTGATTGTAAAGACATGTTTATCCAATACCCCTTAAGAGGATGCTACCCCAGCATATGTTGTTTTTGTCATACTGACATACCTAAAACATAACAAATTTGCATTCAGTAAAACCAAATGTGTCATTAACTTTAATATTAGAATGAATTGATAAATGTATTATCAAAGTTAAAGGTAGAAACGAATATTATTTAAGCTAAAGCGTAGATTTATATAAAAATTTGATTGTTAAGCTAAATATGAACATTTTTAACTCATAATAATTATAATATTTATATCTTTTAATCAAAAAAATCGAAAAAAAAAACCAACATTTTATTGCTGACAATCGTACTTTTAACCTTAATAATAAGTCAATTTACCATTAGAACACAAAATTGATTCAACAGAACATAAATTTGCTATGTTGTTATTTGTATGACAGAGACATGACATGCAATGGTAACATCCTCTTAAACATCAATAAAACAACCTATACCACTAAAATCAACTAACCTAATAACTAAACTAATACAACTAAAATTATATTTATGAATGGTTTTAGAATCTGACAATAATTTTAACTCAAAAGTCGCAATGTTTTATATTTTGAACACATAAAATGCTATATATATCATACTACTAACAATTGAAATAATTGGAAAAATAAAAATTATCATTATCACTGAAGTTTATTTGCTCTTTGATCTTGTCTTAATATAATTAATTATAAAAATAACCATAAAAGATTTTTTTTTAATTAAGATTTATAATAATTCATTCATAAATATAACTTTAATTAATAAAACATTAAAAATAATTACAGCATTTAAACACATTGTTATAACTAAATTATATAATAATTGATACACATTATAAACATGTACTTAAAATAATACTTAGAAAGTTTGGATTATAACTACAAATAGCCTGAATTTATAAAATATTAAAAATATTTAATAAGAATACTACTTATTTCTACATGGTAAAACCAAAGATTAAAATTGTAATATTTTATTTTACCTAATTTAGATCTAATTTGTCACACAAATATTATTTATCAACTGTCATCAAAAGCTAAAAACAATGTTTTTTTTTTTTGCAATAAAACAATAATAATAAATAACTATTGTATTATAGTACCTTAAAGTTTTATTTTTTAAGTAGATATTTTGTTCTTAAATATAAATTACCACAAAAATCATATTATATTAAACTAATAATAGTAATGCATTTATATTAACAATAACATCAGATACTAGACATTTTTTATAAATAATGATTTATACATTATTATTAATATTATTTATTCTTCTAAAGGAGTCTAAATATCTGGATTATACCATGATTACTGTAATCCTCAACACTTAAAACATTGACCCATAACAAATAATATCTATTTCAATAAAGTATAGTAAAACTAATTAAATATGGAAAAACTTAAAACGGAATGCAACAGTAACCATTTTTTCTAATTTTCATTTATAGGCTATACTAGTAGGTTTATAATTACTCACAGTGATTAAAACACTTAAATTCACATGCTAAGAAAACTCCAAATAAAAATACCACCCACTTACAAAATTTAATATTTTTATAGGCGAAATATGCGTTTCTGAAGCACCACATAATTGGCTCCTTAATAATTATTAAAAGCATAAAGAATTAATTAATTAATTATTTAACTTGTATTATTACAAGTGGTAAAGGAATTTAATTAATAATAAACTAATATTTATCAAAAAATATTTCATAGTAAAATGTTGAAGTATATTGAAAATAATTATAATATAATAACTCCATTCTCAAAAATATTTAAAGGCTTTAATAAAATTGGTAATTTTTTTCAAAATTATTTAATTTGAAGGTATATTTATATTTTATTAATTGTAAGAATATTTTAAAATGAAATAAAATGTTTGAAATTTCATAAAAAAAAAAAAATGTAGTTAATATTACAGCAATTTAAAAATATTCTAATTACATATGCCCAATATTTTAATAGGCATTGATAGTTCAAACTTTGACAAAATCAAAATATTTAATAATAACGATTTAAGTAATTTTGTTACAATTCAAAAATATTAATCAAAGAGCCTTAACCCTTTTTAACACTATGTATATCATTATTTTCTACATGAAATTAAATTTTGAAAAAATGTTAACTTATTAATACTATGAACTCATTCATACTGACCTATGACCCATTGGGTAATTACATTTTAAATTAAAAACAGTACATTATATGTCTGGTAACCAACTGTTGTACCATAAATAGAAAACTATATTCTAAACATACTTAAAAAAGTAGTATGAATTGTAAAATATTCTTAGAAATAGAAGCTAAAATAAGATCTCTTTTCTGTATAGTTTTTTTTATTCACAGTGATTTATCGTTCGATTTAAATTTACCACATTCAATACAATCTACTGAATGATTAAGTTTAGTTTAAATTACACTGTGTGACTTCTTTAGTTTTTTCTTTACTCAAAATAATATCACAATACTGATACTAAATACCAATATAAATCACCATAAATTAAAATCTATCTGATTGATTTTTGGATAAAATTCTCACGTCTAATTAAAATTAAAGTTAATTATCTCAATTAATGTATTGGTAGTAGTTGGTTTTGTTTCTAATCAAATGGCAAAATGTTTATATTCATTTTGGTTAGTGACTTCATAATTGCACCACATAATGATCGCCATTAAACATTACAATAATATAGTTGTATAAGTTATATTAAAAGTTCATTTTCAGATAACATAAGAAAGCAATTTGGTGAGAAAAATAGTTGATTTTATCCCTTTATGATTACTCTGAGTAGTAAAGAAGAAAGGCTATGTTTGCATCTCTTTTTTAAATACTGATCTGAATTTATAGAAGCAAATTTGTTCTTTACTGTTTAATTATTAATATCCTACTTTCTTACATTTAGGGTTTTTATATTTTAGATTTATTAGTTAGAATAATACTACAATATAAGTTTCAGTAAAAAAGTTAAATAATAGTCAAATGGTTTTAATAATATAAATTATATTAATTAGTTAAATAATTTTTTAAGGGACAAAACATTATTAATAGAACACTGATTCTTAAAGAAAAATTAAATATTTAAAATCAATATTTTAAAGAAGTGTCTAAAACTAAACAGCTAGATTATAGAAAGTAATTTGATTATTACATTAAGTTTTATAATTTATAGAAACACATACCTTTTGCTATTAGTCACATAAATCATAATTTAACTGCTCTTATGTAATCAATATAATATATTATAATTGTATTCATGTATAGTATTAATATAATTAGCTAATTTTTATTTTCTAACATTTTTTCTTGTGGTAAACAGTTTTATGAACATAATGCTTATCATTTTACTTAAACTTAGTATGACTTTATGAAATTAAAACTACAAATATATATTCATACTTTAAATTAACACAACATTAATTAGTATGTTTAATTAATCTGTATTGAATTTAAAAGTAGTAATAAATTAGAAGACTTGTTGAGTCATTAGTTTATAGGCAAGTGAACTGAAAGTTTTTTATTTTTTTTTTTAAATTTAAAAACAATTATATATTAACTTTTAAAATGATTTGTACGTCTCATTAAAATGTTTAATTATTTTTCTCATATAAATACTTATATTGATATTTTAAAAATTTAATGTGTTACTTTTGATTGTTCTTCATCAATTTCTGGCACTTCCAGGTGAATTTTTAACTGACACAACTTTTCAAGCACAGCAATACCTTAAACATAAAATATTATCATTACATTTTAAAAAAAAATGAATATATACAAGATTTTAAAAATAGTACTTACCTTCTTCTCTGTTATTACTATATTTAAATTCCCATGCATCAAAAAGCATATTATAATATCTAGGACCATCAAAATATTGGTGATATTTAAAAGATGAAGTAGTTGGAAATACTTTTTGAAATCTAAAATTATAAAAAATCTTATTAGAATGTTTTTGATTTGCATATATAGTTGTAAATTTATAAAAAATAATACATTTTATCATATTAATATATATTAACAAAGTACATACGAGCCAATTTGTGTCAGTTCATCTTCATAAATAATAAGATGTCGAATATCATCCGGTAATAGATCATCTAATATACTATTGATATACTAAAAAAAATGAAAATTTATAGCATGTTGATGATTTTAATTATAATTAATAATTTAGTACTTCTACTCTGGATTCAACATTTGTATAATATTCTTGTTTTTCTTTTTCTTTAGCAGATAAATTGAATGTATATAATCTCTTGTCATAACATAGTGGAGAGTTTACTCCTAACATCTTAAGTAATGTATTCTACACAAACATTTTAATTTAGTAAAAATATTTATTGAAGGTTAATTATAGAAATTAAATTAAATTTATATTATGTCTAAGCTATTATAACTCACATGTGTACTAGAAGACATTTTATTAGGGATATGATAACCAACCATATTCATTAGGTCTTTGACTAATGGCCCTTTGACAGCCAAATCAAGCGGAGAAGATGAATGTAATGAAGGAGATATATTAACCTAATATTGTAAATAAAATTAATTAATAATTCTTTATTACAAAGACTAACTTAAATTACCTCTAATATCCAAGGCTTAAGGTGTTCATCGAACAAAACATCTATTCCAAATAATTCATATGCGTTATACCTATTGCTTAAATTTGAACGACACATTTGACTCATGGGTGATTCACCACTAATGACTGTTTTTACAACCAGATCTTCTAAACTCTCCCACAATTTTTTAACATCAATCTTGCGTTCTTTCTCCATGTATGACCATAATGATCGCAATGTCCTAGATTATTATAATTAATTAATAATAATTACATTATTTCAAACACAAATCCAAATTTTAAAATATCTAAAATAAATACACTTAATACAATATACTAACCATTTATGACCTTGACATGCATCAGCATCTTCATTTTGAGTATACTGACTACTAAGTCTGTTAATACTATAATTAGTCAAATGCATATATCTATCACATAGAGTGTTAAGATCAGATGAATACTTAACTGAAATAATACAAATAAATAAGTGAAAGTTTCAATTAAAAAAATAAAAATTATTATACCTGAAGCAAATCGTACAAGCCCATTATCATAAAGATATATACGAAGTGGATTGATTGAAGTGACGAGTATATAGAGTCTTAAGTCAAATTTGGTGTCATTTATTAAATATGGATTATCTATATACCTTTGTACAACTAAAGGTACCTTTTTTGGTATTTGACTCCATTTTGATATAACACGAATTCCAGTTCCTCTAGCAGATGCTGGCTATAAGTAAAAAAAAGAAATTAAGATATTAGTTTTATCATTATTTATTTTTTTTTTGTACAATTATAAATATAATACCGGTTTAACAATCCATTTATCTTCATCATTTTTCTCCCAAACTTGTCGTAAAATTCTAGCTTCTTGAGGTAATATATATGATGTGGGTATAAAACCAAAATGTTCTTTACCATATTTTAACATTAATCTATGTAAGTTTTTCCATAATCTATCTTTGCGACCAATTTGAAAAGTACCCGGAAAATGGTTAAGTTTTTGTTGTTCCCGAAGTGTTTTGAAACATAATGATTTCATATGTTTACCCCAAGTTCCAACCCAATCATTAGATTCTGGAAAAGAAATATTAATAATTATTAGTGTCTTATAATTACAAAAAAAAAAGAAAAAAATAAGCAGCTATCAATAGATTTAAGGTAAGAACACTAATTAATTAAAGAGATATGCAACACTTAAACAAAAAAAAATAGCAGGTGTAACACCACAATAATTATACAAAGGAATACCATTTTTATTAGATAGATTATGACATGTACTTAAAAATTATGCTATGCTTACTTCTAACGAGTTTAAAACCACTATTTTGAATAGTTCGACGTACAACAATTGGAGTTATAGAACTTAGTTTCCACTTTAATAACTTTTGTAAAGATAACGGAAATGATTCGCCTGAAATAAAATTATTAAAAATTGTAGTTAATAATTTTAATCTAAGTAATAAATAAAAAACATTGGTACCTTTAATATCATGAGAAGAAAATCTTATGTATGGTGGCATATTAGAAAATAAGCTAGGTCTTAAGGCTGAATGATATTCAAAATTATCTTTTTGTTTTTGAGTACCTGTAATTTTTTTTGTATTGCAAATTATCATTATTTTACAGGTATACTATCCATTTTTATATTTTTTTCATTAAAATTTTATTTTAAACACATAATACCTGAAAACAAATGATCAAAGTCTAATTTATTTGATTCACTTATCATAAAATCTTGTTCTATACTTTTGTTAAAAGGTTGCACTATTGGAGATTCTAAGCTTGATTGAGCGTCTATTATAGAAACAGTACAAAAATTAATAAAAACAAATATTAAGTATTATGAAAAGTCTTATTTAATATTTACTTTCATAGGTTAAGTCCACGTGTGTTTTTAATGAACTGAAATAAAATAATTTAAAAATTAGCTTAATAATAAAATACTTCATATCATTAATAGATAATTTAATTCTTACTTAACAGGAAACAAAGATGTGTTATTTATACAATCAGTTTGCCATCTAGTTTTAGGACTTAATATTTTACAATTTTTATCAGAGAATTTTGATTTTGATTTTTCATAGATATCACTACTAAGTATTAATTCTGGTATTGAACTTGCTTGTTCATGAATTTGTTCGTCTTCTTTAGTAATTATCAATGATTCTTTTGATTCTTTTACCTTAGGTGTATCTTTAATATGTTTGATTGATTTATACGTTTCTTTTGATACTACAGGCATAAGTGTAGCTATTCGTACATGATTGACAAGCGTTTTCTGATTTGGAATGTCCATAAGATCTTTATTCTTTGGATTTGTATTATTCAAATGACCATTGATGGTTGAAGATGAGCAATCTATCTTATTCATACAATTTGTGGAAATAAGAGGCTTAGGAGGAACCGTTGGTAATATCTAAAGTATAATTATAAATAATTTAAAACACAGATAAATAGAAAAATTATTTTTAAGTACTATAAACTTACTTTGCGTTGGCGATGAATAGGAGGTTGTCTCATGTGCATATCATACTTTTTAACTGATGTATAATTAAATTGATCAACATTTTTGAATTCCTCTTGATCTACACAGTTCTCATTTTCTTCCCATTGCCTTGAATTATTATGATATTGAAAAACATCATTGTGTCTATTATTTTGTTCTACTTCATACATAGATTGTGTTGTATAATCTTTCTTTTTGTTTCCTTAAAAAAAAAAATTGATATTTTATTATGTAAGTAATGTCTATTTATTTATTTTGAAAATCTTAATCTTCTATTTGCAGATTATTAACAAATAATATAAAATAAGAAATTTTAAAAAATGAATTTTTTTATAAACTAATAAAAAATTAATTTATCTTACATACCCAATGAATGAGGAGATTTGGATAACCCATTAGAATAGTTCAAATTATCTAATATAGGATCAGTATCTAAAATTGGATAGGGATTTAATTTTAGCAGTCTTTCTGAACTATGATCCATTGTTTGATGTAAATTTGTACGAAGAGTTTGAAACCGATCCACAGGACACCATCGTTCTTTAATCCCATCTGGTGAAAATGCATTATGTTCTTGATGAGTATCAAGTGGTCGAGATCTCTTAACTCTATTCATATGTACATTGCACACGGGACAAAAACAATTTTCTGGTACAGTTTCATCATGTTCAGGATCATTGACCATGTTTTTAGTTAGTATTGAGTATGATTTATTGTTCATTTTCTTTTGTCTGGTATATTATTACAAAATAACTTTGAAATTTGCCTGTAAAAATAATAATTTGTTATAAAATTAAACCATATATCAAATTATGATATAATTGCATACAATAAAACATAAATACATTTATTTGAAAATATTATACAGACTAAAAGAGGAGAGAAATTAAAATATATTTAAGATAAATGAGGTCAGTAGTTAGATAGTGGAATATGTATAGTATACTTGGCATAATGTTAAGATACTCTGACATATACAAGTATTCTATCATTTATAGAATGACATTAAAAAAAGCTATAGTTCAAATTATTTAAAAAAAATTTAACCTCTGAAATTCTATAAAATAAATATAAAGTAAATGTATCAACCCCTATTTATAAAAAACATATACATATACATTTAAATAAAATACAAATAAGAAATATTATAAATTTAATTTAATCGCCATATCTAAAATGACTAAAATAATGCAGGAACCACTGCGTTCAAAATAAATAGAGGTTTAAAAATTGAGAGATCTTAAAATAATAGATAAATATGTATTCAAACTATTAAGATTCTTATAATAGTACTAACAGTCAATAGGTTTATAAATTTAATTTTCATTAATAATTTAATTCTATATAAATAGTACTTCTTTAAAAGGGTTTGGACATAGTATTAGTATAGGATGACCACATTTATTAAAAATATATTAAGATAAAAAACAATTTTGGTTTAATTCACAAAGGCCTCTAAAAATTGTTAAAATGTTTTTAAAGAATCTTTTTCTACTAGATAAGGTGAAATTTTGGACCAAAATTAGCAAGTTTTGGAAAAACATTTTTTTTTTTCTATTATTGTACATACATAATTATTATATTTCAGCAAATTAATCAGTATTATAGTTATTTATTGTTTTTAAAATGTAAATTAAATTATTATTATTATTATTAACAGACAATTAAGAAATAAAATACTTAAGATAATAATTCTACAGATATCAAAAATAATAAGCTAAATTTCTATATGATTGTATAGTAAATTATCGACAAAAAGATTTTATGAAATACACTTAGTGAATATACTTTAAATTAAACGGATAAAACTTTGAATTGTCACTTTTTAGTGACCAGTTTTCTCAAAAATTCAATTTCAAATTGCCGAGTACTTAAATAAATTGTTTTTAGTATTTGAATAACCCCGAGATTTTTAAGAGAACGAACATTTACTTTAAATTACCGAAAGTTTAAATTATCGAGAGTGGTGTCAACTGTACATTCATTAAAATCATTTTAAAATAGTTTAAAAAAAGTTTTTGAATTCTATTAAAAAGTAGGAAACTTTATATATAAATTAAAATAAATAATCATAAAAGACTTCTAATCTTTAAAACTTAATTATTGCAAAAATATAATGTTTAAATTAATTTTTTTTTTTTAATTAAAAAATCGACTTTAAAAAATATTTTTAATTCATTATTTTATAATTGTGAGCACAAATAATATTTAATAAAAAATACATACTATTCTAAATTATAAAAAAATATCAATTGTATTAGTTTAAAATATTAATTTATCAATATTTAAGTTTTATAAGTATATTTTTTAAATAGATCTTTATATTGCTCTTAAATGAGTAGAACTGTAATATTCCAAACCCATATTTACTATGCATCGTAAGGTTCTAATAATCTGAGCCCCACATTTTAGAAATTAAAATTTATATTAAACAAATTAATTTTTTTGATTTAATAGGTATTCATTATTATTTAATCGATTAAAATATTTAAAATATTCTAATGCTCTATTATTTTAGTTAACTATATTTTTGCTAAGTGTAAAAGTATCAATGAAAAGTTATGCAAGTGAGAATGATGTGCAAAGTACATATTTATTTAAATACACTACTCACATACAAAAATTAATTTTAATTTAACTAAGTATACATTGAATACAATTAGGTATACACAAATAATAATAAAACAGTAAAAACTAAAAAATAAAAATGTAATGGAAATTGACGAATGAAAATTTATGATAAAAACTCACCATGAATACGATTACAGTAATAGGTATATATGTAATAATATTAACTATGTTTTGATGAAGACGACTTCAACGAGTGCGATTGTTGACGTCTATAACTTCGGCGATGAACACGAGTTGTAGCTGCACGCAGGAGTTATTTAAGACTGTGTAGTTATTTTATTAATTATGATCACGACGAGTCTGTTGCCCGCCAAACAGGAGACATTTCAAACGGTGGTCAACAATCGATTCAAACGCAGTAAAAAATGGCAAATTAGTTCGAATGTACTAATAAACCGTAATGAGTGATTAGTTGGCAATTTCCCGAGGTAATCGTAATAATTAATCTTTAACAATCTTATAAAATAATAAACGCAAAACGTATTCGGCAACTCCCTCCTATTCACAGCCTCGAGAAAAGACTAAAAAAATAATCGTTGGCGTCGTTCGCTCACGTGCGAACCGCAAGCGACGCACACTGGCCAGTAGCCGAACACTGACAGTGAGGCGCCCTCGAACGATGTTTTGTGGCCTGTGGGGTGGTGAGCAGCACGAGTTGTAACAACTGCCGACTAGCGGACTTGAAGACGAACTGTGCTGCGCTCACCGCTCGACAATGATATTTGTTACCGGGTGGTAAACAATTCGTTGAAAAAAACACTGATGAAATGCTGTTGCGGGAGACGGGAGTTTTAATAATTTCTTGTGTTATTTTTTCATTAAAGTGTCAACAACTAGCAATTGATTATTACTCATTAGTAATAAATTATTATTTAAATAATAATTAAATATTAGTGTTCAAAATATGTTCAATATACAATTGTCCAGGATCGTCGTATTCATGAAACGCGCTGTTACGAACTTACAAATTACGACTACAAACTTTATGAGATTGTTCGTGATGGGGTGGTTCGCCGACAGGCGATGGCAAGGATATTTTTTATTCATCCATTATTATTATTATTATTGCTATTATTATTATCACTATCCAGTATCCAAACGTGTTATACATATACATATTACATAGTACCATATAAGACAGCAGGCTGCGCTAAACGCGCAAAAAATATCATATTTTCGTGAGGTTATCGGTATGAACATAGATACGATAGCGTGGGCGCACGGTACAGAGTTCTGAGTTTTAATCTTGGGCTCAGAGTTCATAAATCGGCCTAATGCAGTATTCAATATTCATTATTTCCTATCCACATTTACATTCACATTCAGTTTAAAGTTTTTGTTTTTAATGCCTCCATCATGTTCCTACTCCTAATTGGACATTTTAAACATGTTGTTATTTATTTTACATTAAAATATTATCTTTATGTATTTGTGGTCAACATTCATACCGCAATACATTACGATCAATATTTATATACGCGCTGCCGTTTATTGATAAATATATATTTAATATTAAAACTGTTTTAATACTTCACCTTAATTTCCTCTCATATTTTTTAGGAAGATAATAAATTAATTGCCTGTACTGCACTGCACTGCATTAGTGCAGTCGGAAGATACGATCAATATATTGGTTTATGTAAACAATTTAGTCATAAAATTATAAATACTAATACTATTCGTTTATTTTTAATAATACATAATCAATGATAATAGTTATTAAGCTTATTTATACAGAAACGTTCAAACCCGGCAAAGTTTACAAATCTCAGTATGAT